GTAGTGTGTGGGTTCCCCTCTCCCCACACCCTCCTCAACATTTTCTATTTTTTGTCTTGGTAATTATAGGCATTCTGATAGGTGTTTGGTGATATCTCGTTGTAGTTTTATTTTGCATTTCCCTAATAATTAGTGATGTTAAACATCTTTCATGTGCCTGTTGGCCATCTGTATAATTTCTTTGGAAAAATGTCTGTTCATGTCCTCTGGCCCATTTTTTGATCAGGTTGTTTGATTTTTTGTCATTGAGTTGTATGAGTTATTTGTATATTTTGGAAATTAACCCCTTGTCAGATATATGATTTGCAAATATTTTCTCCCAGTTGGTGGGTTGTCTTTTCGTTTTGTTCATAGTTTCCTTTCACTTGCAGAAGATTTTTACTCTGATGTAGTCTCATTTGTTTATTTTTTCTTTTGTTTTCCTTGCATGAGTAGACATGGTATTTGAAAAGATGCTGCTAAGACAGATGTCAAAGAATGTACTACCTATAGTTTCTTCTGGGAGTTTCATGGTTTCAAGTCTTACGTTTAAGTCTTTAACCCACTTTGAATTAATTTTTGTGTATGCTGTAAGATCATAGTCTACTTTCATTCTTTTGCAAGTGGCTGTCCAGTTGTCCAACATGATTTATTGAAGAGACTTTCCTTTCTCCATTGTGTGTTCTCAGTTCCTTTGAGGATTAACTGACAATAGATGTGTGGTTTTATTTCTGGGCTTTTGATTTTATTCTATTGAACTGTGTGTCTGTTTTTGTACCAGGATCATGCTGTTTTAATTACTATAGCTCTGTAGTATATTTTTAAGTCAAGGATTGTGATGCCTCCAGGTTTGTTATTTTTCCTCAGGCTTGCTTTGGCTATTCGGGGTCTTTTGTTGTTCCATACAAATTTTAGGATTCTTTGTTCTATTTCTGTGAACAATGTCATTGGGATTGGGATTGCATTGAATCTGTAGATTGCTTTAGGAAGTAAGGACATTTTAACTACGTTTATGCTTCCAACCCATGAGCATGGAATGTCTTTCCATTCCTTTATATCTTTTTTGATTTCTTTCAATAATGTCTTTAGTTTTCAATGTATAGGTCTTTCACCTCTTTGGTTAGATTTATTCCTAGATATTTTATTCTTTTTGTTACAATTCTAAATGGGATTATATTCTTGATTTCTCTTTCTGCTACTGCATTATTAGTGTATAGAAATGCAGCTGATTTTTGTAACTTGATTTTGTACCCTCCAACTTTGCTGTAGTTGTTGATTGTTTCCAATAGTTTTCTGATGGATTCTTTAGATGTTCTATATATAGAATAATGTTGTCTACAAACAGGATTCCTTTTATTTCTTTTTCTTGCCTAATGGCTCTGACCAAATATCTAGTAGTATGATGAATAGGAGTGGTGAGAGTGGGCACCCTTGTCTTGTTTCTGTTCTCAGGGTCATGGCTTTTGGTGTTTCACCATTAAGTATGATGTTGGCTGTGGGCTTGTCATATATGGCTCTTATTTTGTTGAGGTATTTTCCTTCTATACCCATTTTATTGAGAGTTCTTTTCATAAATGGATGTTGGATCTTATCAAATGCTTTCTCTGCATCTATTGAGATGATCATGTGATTTTTATTCCTCCTTTTTTTTAATGTGGAGTATCACATTGATTCATGGATGTTGAATCATCCCTGCCTCCCTGGAATATATCCAACTTGATCATGGTGTATGATCCTTTTAACGTATTGATATTTTCAGTTTGCCAATAGTTTGTTGAGGATTTTTGCATCTATGTTCATCAGTGATATTGGCCTGTAATTTTCCTTTTTTGTGCTATCCTTGCCTGATTTTGGTATCAGAGTGACGTTGGCCTCATAGAATGCATTAGGAAGTGTTCCGTGTTCTTCAATTTTTTGGATAGTTAGAGAAGGATAGGTGTTAGATCTTCTTTGAATCTTTCGTGGAATTCTCCAGAGAAGCCATCTGGTCCTGGGCTTTTGTATTTTGGGAGATTTTTGATTACTGTTTCAATCTATTGACTTGTCATTGGTCTATTCAGATTCTTTATTTCTTCTTGATTCAGTTTTGGTAGGTTATATGAGTCTAAAAATTTATCCATTTCTTCTAGGTTCTCCAATTTGTTGGCATATAGTTTTTCATAGTATTCTCTTATAGTCTCTTGTACTTCTGCAAAATTCACTTTAATCTCTCTGTTCATTTCTAATTTTATTTATTTGAGCCTTCTCTCTTTTTTCTTAGCGAGTCTTGCTAAGGGTTTGTCAATTTTGTTTATCTCCTCAAAGATCCAGTTCTTAGTTTTGTTGATCTTTTCTACTGTTTTTTAGTCTCTATTTCATTTGTTTCTGCTCTAAATGTTATTATTTACCTCCTTCTACTGACTTTGTGCTTTCTTCTTCTTCTAGTTCTGTTAGTTGTAGTTTAACATTACTTATATGAGATTTTTCTTGTTTCTTGAGGTGGGCCTGTACTGCTCTAAACTTCCTTCTTAGAACCACTTTTCCTACATCTCATAAGAGTTGGTATGTTATGTTCATTTTCATGTGTCTCCAAGTATTTTTAAATTTCTCCTTTGATTTCTTCCTTGATCCAATAGTTGTTCAGTAGCATGTTGTCTGGTCCCCACGTATTTGTGGGTTTCCCAGTTTTTCTTGTAGTCAATTTCTGGTTTCATAGCATTGTGGTTGGAAAAGATGCTTGACATGATTTTAATCTTCTTAAATTTATTGAGGCTTGCCATGGTTCCCAACACACGGTCTATCTTTGAGAGTGTTCCATGTGTACTTGAGAAGAATGTGTATTCTGCTGTTTCAAGATGGAATGTTCTGTATATATCTATTGAATCCATCTGGTCTAGTCTTTCATATAATTATGGCCACTGTTTCCTTGTTGATATTCTGTCTGGATGATCTATTCATTGCTGTAAGTTTGTTGTTAAGGTCCCCTACTATTATCATGTTGCTGTTAATTTCTCCCTTTAGGTCTGTTAATAGTTGCTATATAAAATTTGGTTCTCCTGTGTTAGGTGCATATAAGTTCATAAGTGTTATTTCCTCTTGATGGAATGTGTCTTTTATGATTATGTACTGCCCCTCTTTGTCTCTCATTGTCTTTTTTACCTTGAAGTCTACTTTGTCTGATATAAGTATCATGACACCTCCATTTATTTGCTGTTGTTGTTTGTCATTAGCTTGGAGTATTGTCTTCCATCCCTTCACTCTGAGCCTGTGTTTGTCTTTAGAACTGAGATCTGTTTCCTGGAGGCAGCATATTGTTGGGTCTTGTTTTTTAATCCATCCAGCCACTCTGTGTCTTTTGATTGGAGAGTTAAATCCATCTACATTTATAGTAATTATTGATATATGAGGGCTTAGTACTGCCATTTAATCTCTTGTTTCCAGTTGTTCCATATTTCCCTTGTTTCTCTTCCTTTATATTTCTGACTGTCGTTTAGTTGGTGGTTTTCTATTATTGTTTTCTCTTTATTTATGATTTGTGGCTCTATTCTGTTTCTTTGTTTAGTGGTTACCGTGAGGTTTGTATAAAGGATCTGATAGATGAGACAGTCCATTTTCTGACAGCCTCTTAGCTTCCTCAGCCTAATCGTGTTCCACTCCTTTCCTTTTCCCCTTCTGAGTAATTGTTGTCACAAATTGTTCTTTTCTGTGTTGTGAGTTTGTGACTAAATAGAAGTGTTTATAGTTACTTTTGATGCTTTCCTTCTTTCTCTTTTTTTTAAAGATTGGCACCTGATCTAACAACTGTTCTCAATCTTCCTTTTTTCCCCCGTCTTCTCCTCCCCAAAGCCCCCCAGTACATAGTTGTATATTCTAGTTGTGAGTACCTCCGGTTGTGCTATGTGGGTTGCCACCTCAGCATGGCTTGATGAACGGTGCCATGTCCGGGCTCAGGATCAGAACCAGTGAAACCCTAGGCTGCTGAAGCAGAGCACACAAACTTAATCACTTGGCCACAGGGCTGTCCCCTGCTTTCCTTCTGTTTATCTTATGTTATAATTAACTGTTTGATAACCTGTTCTGATAGAGAGCGGCAATTTTCTGATTTTGTCTGTCTAGTTACCTCCTTGTTCAAAGCTTTGTAAACCTTTGCTTTTTTTATTTCAGGTAGGGAGGGCTTCCTTCATCATTTCTTGTAAGGGAGGTCTAGTGGTGATGAACTCCCTCAGTTTTTTTTTTTTTAATCTTGGAAATCTTTTGTTTCTCCATCATATCTGATGGATAATTTCTCTGGATAGAGTATTCTTGGCTGAAAGTTTTTGTCTTTCAGTATTTGGAATATATCATTCCATTCTCTCCTAGCCTGTAAGTTTTCTGCTGAGAAATCTGCTGAAAGCCTGACAGGGGTTCCTTTGTAGGTTATTTTCTTCTGCCTTGCTGCCCTTAATATTTTTTCTTTGTCATTGACTTTTGCCAGTTTTAATATTATATGCCTTGGACAAGATCTTTTCACATTGATGTAATTAGAAGTTCTATTGGCTTCATGTACTTGTAAGTCCAGGTCTTTCCCCAGGTTTGTGAAATTGTCAGCTATTATTTCTTTGAACTAGGTCTCTTCTCCTTTCTCCCTCTTTTCTCTCTTTGGAATATCTATAATCCTCACATCATCTTTCCTGATTGAGTTGGATATTTCTTGAAGAATTTTTAGATTGTAAATTTTTGTGACTTCAGGATTGGCTTCTGGAGACTTGTCATTTTCCTTCTGCTCTGAAGCATTGCTGTGGTTCTTCGTGGTTTTGGTGAATTGATCCTTTGTTGGTGCATTTGTGGCAATATCAGGTCACAGATTCCACCTGCCACCACCGTGGGGGAGCAGGAGCTGTGTTTTGTGACCCTGCCCCATCTGCTGGAAATCGTGCAGGTAGGGCTGTTCTGTGTTTGCCTGGGCTGGCCACAGCTGCTATGCATGTTGATCTCATGTGGGTGGGGCCTCTGCACTGGGAGGGTGGGTCGGGCACCATATATGAAGCCTCTGTGCTCAGCAGTGAACGAACTGAGTTGTGGCACTCTAGGTGGGAGGAGCAGCTATGTGGGGGCTGAACCACCACTCAGTGGATCCTACAGGTTGCTGTGCTCCACAGGCAGGGGCACTTTCTGAGTTGCAGGACACCTTCTTGCCTATGCTGTGCTGGGAGCAAGTGACCCCCTCATGGGGGCTGAGATGTCACTCAGTGGATCCTGCGGGCTGCTGTGCTCCACAGGTAAAAGTGCCTTCTGAGTGGGCGGGATGCATTCTAGCCATCACTGTGCTCAGCAGTCAAGCACCTTTGCAGGGACTAAGCCACTGCCACTCAGTGTAGAGCGTTATTACCAGCAGGCTGCTACAGCACAGTGGGGACACTTGTGGGCTGGGCTGCAACTCTGAAAGCGTTTGTGCAGGCCGAGCTCTCCCTGCCTCCTCTTACAGTCACACCAGCTGCTGTGTGAGGATCTGGGACCTGACTCACTGCTGCTGGGGCAGGGGAGAGGTGTTCTCACTAGTTCCACTGCTCCCTGGGGATCCAGTCCCCTCACCTTGAGGTCTACAGCTGCATGTATCTCTCAGACATCCTGTTGTGCTATGAAGGAATCCTCTGCTGGTTAATGAATGTCCATTTAGTTGTAACTTAAAGGAGAGAGACTAAGGAAACAACTTACTCTGCCATGACACTGACATCATTCTGATGTCCCCGGGTTTTAATTTCAGATACTCTGTATTTCAGTTCTAAAATTTTCTTTTGCTTCCTTTTTGTATTTTCTGTTCCTCTGCTGAGATTCCTTCCTCTTCATACCAGGGCATTTTTCCTTACCTTGTCAAGCATAGTTATAATAACTGCCTTTAAGTTTTCCTTTGTACATTATGACATCTGCATCATTTTAGCATTGGCCTCTGTTGATGGTCTTTCCTTTTGAGGATGGGTTACATTTTCCTTGCTCTTTCTTTGTCAAGTAATTTTTTATTGTATCCTGGACATTATCAATTTACATTGAAGAGACTATGGATTCTTTTATGTTCCTCCAATGATGGTCTTTTTTTCTTTTCATTAGCAGGCAATGAACTTGGTTAAACCTAAATTGCAAATGTCTTTTGTCTGTGATGAGCGGCAGCTAACATCTCATTTCAGACTGCTTTTAGTCTGCCTAATGCATGTAGCGGTCAGGATCAGCCAGACACTGGAGTAGAGATTATGCACAGAATTTGGAGTTTTCTTTCTGTGGCTTTTCTCCTTTAACAATTTGATTGGTGGTGTTAGAGACATCCTCATCTGTAATTCTGCCTAATTGCTTGTTTTTCCAAATAATTGCAAATCTTGCACCCAGACCATGGTTGTGAAAACAAAAGTGAAAAATTTCTATCTTCGTTTTCTTGTTGTGATCTTCTTGGGATGTGAGAGGCCTTGGGTGAAACACTCAAAGAGGCCTCATCAAGGGATTTAAAAATATATATAAAAAGTAAGAGAGATCACATCTGGTGCTATGTCACAGCATCTCCCCTCTACATGCCAACATGATATTTAAAGAGAAAGAAGATGAGGCAGGGGTCTTGTCAATGAACTTTGCTCCCTGGTAAGGTGATTGTTGGGCAAATAAAAAGGTTTTAGTTTCCTGTTGAAGTTTTTAAAACTACCACAGTGGAGATAAGTCTAGAAGGATGATGACCAAATGTTACACTTATCGTATTTTTTGAAAATAGTTTTTGAATAGTGATCAGGTAATATTTTATTTTACTTTTCTTCCAAGAGACACCTTGGCTCTTCTGGATTAGTAATTATGGAAGAGACTGATGATTGTCCCCAAAGTTTCATTCCTCCCTTCTTTGTTTTTTTTTTTTTTTTTTTACTTTTTTCTTATTGTAGTAAACTATACATAAGATAAAGTTGACTGTCTTAACCATTTTAATCTTCCTTGTTTTTGATCATAGAAACGATTGAGTTTTAGCTGGGTACATGGCTCCCCAGCCTCCCTTGGAGCTCCCTGTGGCCTCATTACTACATTCTGGCTAATTGGAGGTGAGGGGAATGATATGTGCAACTTCTAGGTTGTGTCCTTAAAGGGGACATTCTTGTGCTCCACGTCCTCCTTTGTCCTTCTTTTGGGCTGGAATGTCGGGATGAGAGCCAGCTTCCACGTGGAAGAAAACAACTCCCTGGGGACGGCAGAGAAACATCAGACTGGACTTCTGGTCAACTTTTGGAAGCAAAGCCAACTACCTCCCAAACTGGCCAGCAGCTTGGACTTTAACATCTGAAATAAATGTCTTCTGTGTTGTTTGAGTCAATATATTAATGATTTGTGACTCTTTGTTACAGCAGCTCAGCATCAATATCCTAACTAATCCAGATGACTATCTCTAGGCTTCATCTCCTTCCCTTGGCTTCAAGTCTCCTCATTCTTCCTGCACTCTGCCTCTCTGTCCAGCCCCTTTGGGTTGACCATTGCTTGGATGGTCTTTGGCTTTGACATTGACTTCTCCCAGGATCCTGCCCCTGAGCGGCCACCCCTCCAGGTGATCCCTACACTGTGGCCCATGAATGAGTAACAACTTCAGGTTTCCAAACTCAGTTCCAAATAATCCCAGTCTGCTCTTTTATCAGAAGACCTAAAGGACTGCCGCCCCCATCCCTCTGCCTACCTGGTAACACTCACACCTCACAGGTGTAATAGATGGAAAGAAATGAGAATGAAGGGGTCATAGGACCAGGTCAAATGTGGAGGAGGATTGGGACTGACTGCTCATAGGTGTGAGTTTATCTTTGAGGTTGATAGAAATGTTCTGGAATCAGGTAGTGGTGATGCTTGAACAACATAATGAATATACTAAAACCACCTTAAAATGGTGAATTTCATGTTATGTGATGTATATCTCAATTTTTTAAAATGTTATTTTAAAAATAAGAAGCTGAAAGCGAGAATGGGAAAGAGGTTCAGAGAGTGTATTCTGAAAAGGGGCTGGGGGGGCCCAGATGGAGGAAAGACAGAGCAGAGGGGAGGCAGCCACACCCAGGTGTCTTCCTGCAGAAAGCAAAGTGACATGTAACAGGCGTCATGCCTGGAGCTGCTGGTTCCTGGAGGGGAACAACATTCGGAGGCTCTGGAGGGCATCTTGGCACAGTCAGGAGGGGCCTCCAAACTCCTCTCTCGTTAGGAGTCTAGGATTACTCAGCCCAAAAAGGAAAACACTATTGATATACGCAGCTACCTGGATGCATCTCAAGGGCATTATGCTGAGTGAATTTTTAAAAAGGCAGTCTTAAAGTGTTACATACTGCATGATTTCAATTATAAAATATTCTCAAAATGCCAAAATTATAGAGATGGAGCCCAGATAAGTGGATACCACAGGTTAGGGAGGTCATGGGAAGGTATGACCCTAAAGGGTTAGCATGAGGGTGTTCCTCTGCGGTGACACAACAGTCTGTATGCTGATTTTCAGGATAGTTCTACGAATCTGTACATGTGATAAAATATTTTAGGACTGTCATAAAGACATAAAAATGAGTGTGTGCAAAAAACTGGTAAAATATGAGTAAGATCTGTAATGTAGTTAGTTGTGTCAATGTCAATTTCCTGGTTTTTTTAAATTTATTTTTGTATTGTGATAACATTGGTTTATAACATTATATAAATTTCGGGTGTCCTCATTATATTTTGATTTCTGCGTAGATTTTGTCATGTTCACACCCAAAGACTAATTACAGTCCATCACCACACGTGTGCCTAATCACCCCTTTCGCCCTCCTCCCTCCGCTCTTCCCCTCTGGTAACCATCAATCCAATCTCTGTCTCTATGTGATTGTTTGTTGTTGTTTTTATCTTCTACTTATGAGTGAGATCATATGGTATGTGACTTTCTCCCTGTGACTTATTTCACTTAGCATAATACCCTCAAGGTCCATCCATGTTGTCACAAATGGCTGGATTTCATCATTTCTTATGGCTGAGTAGTATTCCATTGTGTGTATATACCACATCTTCTTTATCCATTTGTCCGTTGACGGGCACCTAGGTTCCTTCCAAGTCTTGGCTATTGTGAATAATGCTGCAATGAACATAGAGGTGCATGTATCTTTACACAGTCATATTATGATGTTCTTTGGATAAATACCCAGCAGTGGAATAGCTGGATCATATGGTAGATCTATTCTTAATATTTTGAGGAATCTCCATACTGTTTTCCATAGTGACTGCACCAATTTGCACTCCCACCAGCAGTGTATGAGAGTTCCCTTCTCTCCACATCTTCCCCAACACTTATTGTTTCCTATCTTGTTAATTATAGCCGTTCTGACGGGAGTGAGGTGGTCTCTCACTGTAGTTTTGATTTGCATTTCCCTGATAGTTAATGATGTTGAACGTCTTTTCATATGTCTGTTAGCTATCTGTATATCTTCTTGAAGAAATGTCTGTTCAGATGTTTTGCCCATTTTTTAATTGGGTTGTTAGTTTTTTTGTTGTTGAGATGTATGAGTTTTTTGTATATTTCGGATATTAACCCCTTATCAGATACATGGTGTGCAAATATCTTCTCCCAATTGTTGGGTGTCTTTTTGTTTTGTTGATGGTTTCCTTTGCTGCACAGAAGCTTTTCAGTTTGAAGTAGTCCCATTTGTTTATTTTTTCCATTGTTTCCCTTGCCCTGTCAGACATAGTATTTGAAAATATGCTGCTAAGACCGATGTCAAAGAACGTACTGCCTATATTTTCTTCTAGAAGTTTCATGGTTTCAGGTCTTACATTAAAATCTTTGATCCATTTTGAGTTAACTTTTGTGTATGGTGTAAGATAATGATCTACTTTCATTTTTTGCATGTAGCTGTCCAGTTTTCCCAACATCATTTATTGAAGAGACATTCCTTTCTCCATTGTATCTTCTTGGCTCCTGTGCCGAAAATTAGCTGTCCACAGATATGTGGATTTCTTTTTGGGCTCTCGACTCTGTTCCATTGATCTAAGTGTCTCTTTTTTTGTGCCAGTACCATGCTGTTTTGGTTACTATAGCTTTGTAGTATATTTTGAAATCACAGAGCTTGATACCTCCAGCTTTTGTCTTTTTTCTCAGGATCCTTTGGCTATTTGGGGTCTTTTGTTGTTTCATGTACATTTTAGGATTCTTTGTTCTATTTCTGTGAAAAATGTTGTTGGAACTTTGATAGGGATTGCGTTGAATCTGTAGATTGCTTTAGGAGGTATGGACATTTTAACAATGTTAATTCTTTCAATCCAAGAGCACAGAATATCTTTCCATTTCTTTGTATCTTCTTCAGTTTCTTTCAACAATGTTTCATAGTTTTCAGTGTAGAGGTCTTTCACCTCTTGGTTAAATTTATTCCTAGGTATTTTATTCTTTTTGTTGCAATTGTAAATGGGGTTGTATTATTAACTTCTCTTTCTGCTACTTCGTTGTTAGTGTATTGAAACACAATTGATTTTTGTATGTTGATTTTGTATCCTGCAACTTTACCATATTCATTTATTATTTCTAAAAGTTTTTTAGTAGATTCTTGATGGTTTTCTGTGTATAAAATCATGTCACCTGCAAATAGTGACAGTTTCACTTCTTCCTTTCCAATTTGGATCCCTTTTATTTATTTTTCTTAATTACTCTGGCTAAGACTTCCAATACGATGTTAAATAAGAGTGGGGAAGGGGCCTCCTGGTCTTGTTCCTATTCTTAGAGGGATGGCTTTCAGTTTTCTCCATTGAGAATGATGTTAGCTGTGGGTTTGTCATATATGGCCTTTATTATGTTGAGGTACTTTCCTTCTGTACCCATTTTATTCAGAATTTTTATCATAAATGGATGCTGTATCCTGTCAAATGTTTTCTCTGCATCTATTGAGATGATCATGTAATTTTTCTGCTTCATTTTTTTAGTGTTGTGTATCATGTTTATTGATTTGCAGATGTTGAACCATTCCTGCATCCCTGGAATAAAGTCCACTTGATCATGGTGTATGATCTTTTTAATGTATTGTTGTATTTGATTTGCTAGTATTTTGTTGAGGATTTTTGCATTGATGTTCATCAGTGTTATTGGCCTGTAATTTTCTTTTTTGTGTGATGTCCTTGTCTGGTTTTGGTATCAGGGTAATGTTGGCTTCATAGAGTGAGTTGGGAAGCTTCCCCTCCTCTTCAATTTTTTGGAAGAGTTTGAGAAGGATAGGTACTAAGTGTTCTTTGAATGTTTGGTAGAATTCACCATGGAAGCCGTCTGGTACTGAACTTTTATTTTTGGTAGGTTTTTCATTACTGTTTCAATCTCTTTACTGGTGATTGGTGTATTCAAATTCTCTATTTCTTCTTGATTCATTTTTGGAAGTTTGTATGATCCAAGAATTTATCCATTTCTTCTAGATTGTCCAATTTGTTGGCATATAGTTTTTCATAGTATTCTCTTGTAATCTTTTGTATTTCTGAGGTGTTCATTGCAATTTCTCCTCTTTCATTTCTGATATTCTTTATTTGAGCCTTCTCTCTTTTCTTCTTGGTGAGTCTAGCTAAAGGTTTGTCAATTTTATTTATCTTTTCAAAGAACAAGCTCTTGGTTTTGTTGATTGTTTCTATTGTTTTTTTTAGTCTCTATTTCATTTATTTCTGCTCTGATTTTTATTATTTTCTTCCTTCTAATGATTTTAGGCTTGCTTTGTTCTTCTTTTTCTAGTTACTTTTGGTGCACTGTTAGATTGTTTATTTGAGATTTTTCTTGTTTGTTGAGGCAGGCGTGTATTGCTATAAACTTCCCTCTTAGAACCACTTTTGTTGAATCCCATAAATTTGGCATGTCATATTTTCATTTTCTTTTGTCTCCAGGTATTTTTTTATTTCTCCTTTGATTTCTTCATTGACCCAATCACTGTTCAGTGACATCTTGTTTAATCTCCACACACTCGTGGCCTTTCTGATTTTCTCCCTATAGCTGATTTCTAGTTTCATACCACTGTGGGCAGAAAAGATGCTTGGTATTATTTCAATCTTCTCAAATTTATTGAGACTTGTTTTGTGGCCTACTATGTGATCAATCCTAGGGAATGTTTCACGTGCATTTGAAAAGAATGTGTGTTCTGCTGTTTTTTGATGGAATGTGCTGTACACATCTACTAAGTCCATCTGGTCTAATGTGTCATTTAAGGCCAATGTTTCCTTATTGATCTTTTGTTTGGATGATCTATCCATTGATGTAAGTGGAGTTTTAAAGTCCCCTACTATTATTGTATTACTGTCTATTTCTCCTTTTATGTCTGTTAATAATTGCTTTATATATTTAGGTGCTCCTATGTTGGATGCATAGATATTTCCATGTTATATCCTCTTGTCGGATTGTTCCCTCTCATTGTGTAGTGCCCTTCTTTTGTCTGACCTGTTTTGCCTGATAGACTTTTCTCTGTTTTG